CGGAAATTCTGGTTGTAAATTCTTACAAATATAGTTGTAAGTCAAGGACTATCTATAACAACTACAGATTGAACTATCATTTCATGACAATTCAAACATTCCAGGCTACATGTATGAACTATTAATTATCAGATGATAGATTTCAATATGATTATTCTCCCTGGCTCTTATGTAACCAAATAGATTGTGGACAATAATTAAACAACTATAAAAGGTATTTTAAAGCATGCTGAATATGTTGCCCATAAATGAAGTAAAATGCTCTGGCCCTGCTTTGTTTGAAGAGTCCATGCCAATTGCACTCCAGGCCTTTCACTCTGCAGCACTTACACAAGAGAGCAAAGGACCAATTTCTATATTTATTTTGGTATAAGGTCAATAGGAGATTCTATGTCAATTCTTTATCACTCTGAATACATCTTCTAAATGGAGAAATGTACCACCAAGAAGGACCTTTCTCTTCCTCTTTCAATCTGACAAAACAAAACACAGAGCAAAGACTCACCTGAAGCTTTCAGCATTCAGAAAAAGGCCTTCCACTCTGCAAGGTTGACAATAATTCAACACTTGACCTACTCACCCAGTAGGCAGGGCATGCTACTGGAAACCCTTCTTCTCTTTCCTGGGCCCTGCCTGATTCGACATTCTTTACCTGGTTTTTTTTTTAGTGGAAGTTAGGTCTATTAGCCAAAATCCATTAATTGATAGATTTCAGCAGCAATTATTAGTTGTGTTTCTGACAAGGGAGCACACATATTTTTTAAGACCACTCACTCATACAACTCACATAATTGCTCAGTTAGCAAAGAAAAGCTCTAACAATGACTTAACCATATCAGAAATGAGCATGGAAACCAAGCCTAAAGTATAAAAAAAAATAAAGCAAAGCCAAACCTGAGGACCCAATGTGATGGGAAGAAGAGAGTGTACAAGTTGGCAGTCATTTTCAATCTAGAATTCCTCTAGTCACGTTCAAGAAGGAATTGCAAATGTCTAACATTATCTGCAAAAGGACCCTTGATATTTTAAAATGGGTTAAGTTTACTTGGTGGCAGAATTCACTATGATTTAGGTCTTAACTGAATGTCATCAGTACGGCTCCTGAAAAACATATAATGAAAATTCATGCCGAGTATGCTCTTTTCAGAACAGTTTCTTTCAAGCTGTAAGCAACTAATAGTTCAAGATATGCTAACATGGAGATAGTTTTACCATGGATGCTTTATACGGGTCTTTGTGTGCTGTGGCAGGATAGAAATTAAATAAATAAATAGACTTATGAAATCCTATTATTTCCATAATTATCTTATCTATGGTAAGATGTTGACATCATATCAATTTCCTAACATTATAATTATGTTCCTTCGAGCTGTCATGAGTGAATATTTATTTTCAATCTATTGTCTAGATTTTTTTAAAAAAAATATGGCAGGATGTTACACTTAGAGATAAATAAAGATGTTCTGAATCTGCAGGAAACATGTTCTCTTTATACCTCTCTCAGTGTAATGGTGACAAAACATATAAGCAAAGAGAACATACATCTATTGTGATGACGCTGTAGGTAAAAATAAAATAGCCTTTTGCTTTCATCACCTCATTACTGTGTCTAAGTAACTAACAAATTGCCTTTCCATCATCAGCATTCAAATGCTCTGTGGAACAATAAGATCTTAACTGCCTTCCTAAAGGCAAAGAGATTAGTGGCATTCTGTTTCCTTAAAACCTCAGGTTCCACTCTGCTCACTTTTCATGCAATGCAAACCCTTGGCATATCCTCCCAGAAAAGTATGCACAAGGTGGGCTGAATCTTGTCAAGGAAGATGATCCTGTAAATACCCAGGTATCAAGCTATGGAAAGTTTTAACATTGACAATCAGCACTTTGAGATGGACCTGGAGGCAATTAAAATAGCAATGTACCAATACTATCATTAGTGTTAATGTAGAGGAGAGAGAGTATGGCCCTGAGGGACAGGAGGAAGAGTCACTGCCAAGGTAATCATCAGGTAATCAAAATCCCCAAGTCTGGCCTAGAACTCTAATGCATGTAAACATCTCACAAGCCCCTCCCTAGTTCACACAAGGGTAAAGGAAGAGAGGGGAGAGGTGCACTCAGACTTGCAAGGACCTATTACTATAACTTTAAAATAAAAGTAATATTGATCTTCATGAATTTGGTTTCCTAGTCTGGTCTATGTTGAAGGGCTAATCATTACATTATTAAATCCGCCAAATCACCCAGTTAGCAAATAAACAGACAGGACAAGTATTAGCTTTCAAATCACCTTAAAAAGGCAATCCAATATTAAGTGGCTGCAGTGGTCTAACTATGAGGTGATCAGGATGTGAGTCACTATTGTCATGGTAGTCCAAAAAGACCAATAATTGGCACACCAGCCAAAACTGAGTGAAGGAACTCCTGGCCAAGGCCTCCACCTCCTGTTCTAGCAGGAGCCACAAAGCCAGGAGAATCTTCAAATCAAAGACTTGGTCTCTTAGTGAGAGACCACATGCAGAGTCAAAGTTAAATCAAGCCAGACTAACCATGCACAAACTTCTTGCAAAGTTTTGATCCATCTGTCCTTCACAGACTGGTCATCCCCATTTTATAACTAAAATTGTATCTATCTTTAGTTTGGATTAAACTAGATATACAAAGAATGCAAGAAATCCTATAGCCTAAAACAAGGAAATACCAGAGTAGAAAAACCTAAGCTACAAACTTCTTCCTCTTCCTGCAACTCCTCAATTTTCCCTTTACCTATACATTCTGGCCTCTTCCACTTATGCTTACATATGTATACTTACCAACCTATCTACTGCTGGATTCTAGATCCACTCTAATAGTAATTGAGGGGCCAAGTTCACGAAACGCCTCTTTACCTAAGCCTAACATGTATTATTACATGACAATGCTGGTAATATTAAAATAACTTAGACAGTTGTAGAAAATAAGTATTGAGGTTTTCATAGTTTATTTGTATTATGAATTTGTATCTCATATTTGTTAAAATTGATTTATATATTTATTTTTCTCTGTAGATGCCAACATAGGACACTGCTCTGATAACTGGGAAAGGGAATGAATGAGACAAAGAGAAGGAAAAGAAGGATTCAAAGAGTGATTGCATTTGAATAATAAAAAAGGGAATGATTGTGTAGGATATATGATAAGCATGTTTAAAAAGCAAGTGCAACAGAAGCTTAGTTTTGTTATTCCCTTAAAATATGTTTCCACTGACAAAGAGACATGCCACATATAAAAGTGAACCAGATCCATACCAATAACCATAAATGTGTAGATCAGTGACTTAAATTGAGTATAGTTTCTGTGAAACATCTTGATAGAGCAGATCCCAAAACTTATCCTATAGAAATCTGCTTGTCTATGAACATTTTCAATAAAATGATTAGCTTTTGGTTCCACTCCATCAAAGTTGCAGTTGATGATCATTATAAGCCACAGTCATCTTGCTGGTATCACTACAAATTTGAATATTCTACAGTCTGAATGTAGCTCACATTACTTGAGCAAGTACTGTTAAATCCAACAGTGGATTTGCTGTGCTGTTAGTATGCTGACTTGGAAAGAAATCTTATTGAGTTATTTGGTAGTTAAGCTTAAACATGCATGCTTTGGAAATAATGACTAATTGGCTTAAATAAAAGCACATTAATTTAGCAAGCATGTCGAACAGGCTATCCAGTTCAATACACAAAAGACAATTCTTTTACATTTATTAGTTGAAAATTTATAAATGGTGGAAGATTACAAAATCCTAATTTGGAAATGTTTTTTTTAATTAATTGTTTATTTACTGCAAAATGCTTAAAAGGCATAAGAATTTTCAGCAATTTCCCGGGACAAGTTTTATGAGTCAGTGATCCAATCAGATTAAGAAATGTTCACACTGAAACTCTTATCTGATATGAATACAGAATGGCACTATGTCTTAGACATTGAAATAAAATTGCATGGTAATGGTGTTCATTTATAGTGCAAATCCTTGAGGAACAGGACTGTGTTGGCAAACATAAAATCACAGATTGGGTGTGCACTTAAATGTCTTATGGAATGGTTATTGCCACAGAGAACATCTTGAGTGCAGGCTGGACGTCTACAGTTTAATGAGGAATAGACTCAATGAGGTAACTGGACAAGATTTTTTTTCTTTTATTTTATAAAAATTACTTATTCAAACTCTTCACTGCTGTGATACTGAAGAACAAGTAAACAGTAAAGTAAAAGTAGGCAAAAAGCTTTAACAAAGGGAGAAAATAATCAAAATCTCCTCCTTTATTTAGAGTAGTGAACTACCATACAGAATTTGAAGGCAATTGTATTTTGGGTACAATAAAATCCAATAAAATGGATTTATCCCTGTGCTAGCATAAATATTTATAACATAAACTGATAAATAAAAATTAATATAATTCTGGGGGGGGGTTACATTGGTTAACTGAATCTCATTATTATAGTTTACAGGGTAAATCAAATCCCTTCCTAAAAATTATTTGGCTATGTTACTGGACAGTCAGCTAACACACACACACAAAAGAGGGTGGTGGTGTACTGTAAATCCTGCTTTGATTCTGCTTTTTTTTAAAAAAAAAAAATGTTATACGTAGGTGTCTCTTCAGCCAGCTTCACATTCAGGAATAAAATACCAAGTTCCATAAGTAAATAATATAGGTCTTAAGTAAATATTGGGCAAACTTCATGTTAATATTGACTATTTCTATTCAGAACATACTATCTGATTCAAACAACCCGCTTCCTCTTTCTTCTTCATACTTAGCCAACAACAAATCCATTGTCTATTTGTGAGAGTAGCAATCCTGTGCAGATTGTCAGCACTTTAGCACTTGAATATCAGTCTCAGACCATTTGAAACTTATTTTGGGCAGGCAGTGTAATGTGGAATATGACAGCATGCAGATGAGCAAGGATATCTGCAGTAAAACCCATGCTTTCATTAAATAACAGTTCTCATTTACCTGAATAATCTTATCACCAGGCTGAAGCAGGTTGGATGCAGGTCCATCAGGCTGAACCCTAGTAACAAAGATACCCTACAAGTCAAAAGCAACAGAGATTAGACAACTGAAAACTCATTAAAGATTTTTGTATAGATTAAATCAGTAACTGTCATAATACTAATAATGATCACTACAATAGTGGTAAGCAATCTCTTTGCTGATTTGTAAGTTTTCCATAAGCTTTAAAGCTTATTGTTCAGGTATACATGTTCATCTATAATTTTATTGGATTGGAAGCCACAACCTCCGAAACTGTCATACATATGTATGTTTTCTGTGTTGAGATATCTTTCTCAGTCTCTCACAAAATGAAACGTATAGATTTAATTTCATATTAGCAGTTTTTATATTGTCCTGAATAGTATCTTTTGCTATAAAACAAAACAGTATCAGCAAAGATTTTTTTAAAATGTTAAATTGTATTCTTGAATTAACATGTGGAAGAAACAGAATTTCAAGAATTTCAGTACATCTATTGAATGTACTGTAGGAGATGACCAGGCTGAGCCTGACGTAGGCATCAAATGCGCCATCAGTTTTGAGCCCCTTCATGCCTACAAGAGATCTAAGTTCAGGCCACCTTGAATTCCACTGACTCTTATTTACTGCCTATTTGCTCTGACCATTAGTAGGTCAGATTCTTGTAGACAGCATAACCTTGCAATAAACCTTTATATTCTTTGAACTGCCTGGATTTCTGGATTTTCCTGTGTTTGACATATACAATGTTACTAAAGAACTAAAGAAATGGAGCTTTCCATTTGTTTAAATTCTGCTGGTGGATAAATGCAAGCACTTGTCTTAATACAATGTTACAGATGCATCAAAAAAATGTTAATGCATCTGTACTATATGTATGTATGAAACACCGCTTTCAACAAAGATTCTAAATGCTTAATTGAATAAAAGACAATAAAGAATCAAGCACATTTGGGAAGAAAAGATGTGAAATTATTAAAAACAGATTAACCATAAAGAAATTGAAGTTAATTACTTCTCCCAAGGATTGTATGTTTTAAATTCCAAATGGCCTATTAAGGATTGAAAGCCTTTGCATTTTTGAAAATGTGATATATTACCTTATCAGACGGTTTGAATGGATTTCCTTGGCCACTTATTCCTCCACTGATACTAAATCCAAGTCCTGGATTCTTCTCTATCCTTACACAAAACTATATATAAAAGACACAGAGTTATGCTGTATCCGATAATAAATATAAGTGTTCCACTGATTATTGTGCTGTAATTACTGTTATTTTAGTAAGACTGATTTTGGTGATTTTTATTCATTATTTCAGAAAATATTATTCCTAGAGTAAAATTCTGCATTGCTATATATATATTTCATCATCCTTATATCGTCAACAAAAGCTAGTAATAAATACAATGTAGAGAAATACAAAAATCTTAATCATTAGGAGCAAAGGAAGTGCAAAACTCAACATTCTTAAAACTCTAGAACATTCCTTTCCTTAATGAAGCATTTCAAAACCTGTTCCTGGGCTTTTCTCTTTTGAAGTTCAGCAATTTACAGAAAAAAATAATAATCTTCTGAACTAGAAGGAGTCCTGATTTGGATAATTTACTTCGGAACATGAAAAACTGTATCAGAATTGCAAAGAATATTCTAGGTTTCTGAAGGATTTTTGTCCATTCCTCTCAGAAACTGCTTGCATAGTGTTCAGTGCTAACCTTGAATTCCTTAAAATTAGAAATTTGATTGATTCACACATGGAACTAGATATAATTCAGAGTTTTTTTGCTTGTATGCTGATGAGCTGGAAAAAAAAGACCAAATTTATAACCCAATCATAAGTTTCTTGTTAAAGAAAACTAGACAAAGATTGCTTTCTTAACCAGATACTTGGTGCGAAACTACTGCAGTGTGATATGATATCATATTGAGCTTCCCTCAAAATCTTTTAACAATTCTTTTACCCACATGATATTCTGCAACACACCTGTTCTGGATAACCATCCATACTCCTCTGTCCTTTAGTTTGGATGAGACACCTTCCTGCTTGTGGTGCCCGAGAGCTCTGAGATGGGATCTGTATTGGCAACGGTGGCTGATACTGCTGGATTGTTACTTTGTTCATGTTGCCCTCATATGGCTGCTCTCGACTACGATGCTGAAGACTTTGTGATCCCATCAAAGTCTGAATATGGCTACCTGCCTGTGTATAATATCAATCCATTAGGTCAGTAATGTATATAATCACAAAAAGCAATCCATAAAATTTTATAGTAATACAAACCTTTTCTTAGTCTTCAAAGGTCAAGTGTTAGCTCTAGTTGCAAATAGCTATAATTAAAAATAGTGTCATGCATTTTATTCATTTAAAAATTTTTCAACTACACTTGAAACTAAGTGAGCAGAGAATCACAAAATGGAAGCACTGCTGTTTTTACTTATGTAATGTGCTCATTTTTTCCAAGAAAACTGATAGCTTTACCACTGTCTCATGTAAATATTAGTGTGGTGTCATGTAACGGTGACTTGCAATTTCATGCCAACTTCCCTATTAATGGCTGTAAGGCCATAAATGGCGATCACATGACTGTGGGATGCTGTGACTATTGTAAATGTAACCATTATAAATGTGCACCAGCTGCCAAGTGCCTGAATTGTGATAAATGCCTGCGGTGATGCTGCAAATTGAAAGACCGGTCATAAACCTACTTTTGGGGGGCATTCTATGGATAGACACTGAACAAGCAGCTGATAAACAAGGACTACCTATATATCACACATATCAATAAAATTAGGATAATTTTAGCTTTCATGAATTATTTCATGCAATATTCATATATGGTGCTGCAAGTCTGGAAACCAGGATTTTATAAAGATAATTCATAATACATAAAAGTATTATTATGAAATTCTGATTTTAAAACTTGAAGCACCATATATGAATAACATAAATTCTGGAAGATATCTGATCTACATTTGAATTACTAGGACTTTTAATTTGTTTTGAGTATTCATTCTAAGTTTAACTTTTTAAAAGGATTTTGAAGTCGGATGACCTGTATATTTGAATTTTTTTGCTAGTAAAGCAGAAATAAGTTACTCTGAGTCAAATGCAATGAGAAGAGATAAGCTCTGCTAAAATTGCATGCTCAAAAAACTCTCAATTGAGAGTGATAGATAAATAATTTTTAAATTCATTTTTTCATCTGTTGAATAATTTGTTTTGCAAATCTTTAACTTACTTTAATTTAGGTATCCTGATAGAATCTACTGATAGAATCTACTGCATAAATGATATGCAGTATATGCAGGGTGAAGTACCATCAGTACGCTGATGACACCCAGCTGTACATCTCCACCCCGGGCCACCCCAACGATGCCCTTGAAATGATGTCCTGGTGCCTGGAGGCCGTACGGATCTGGATGGGGAGAAACAGGCTCAGGCTCAACCCATCCAAGACCAAGTGGCTGTGGTTTCCGACGTCCAGATATAGTCAGTTGGTGCCATCGCTGACTATTGGGGGCGAATCATTGGCTCCCACGGAAGAGGTTTGTAACTTGGGCGTCCTCCTGGATTCATGGCTGTCTTTAGAAGAGCACTTGACAGCCGTGACCGGGAGGATTTTTCATCAGGTTCGCCTGATCTGCCAGTTGCGTCCCTTTCTAGATTGGGACTCTCTACACACATCACTCATGCCCTCGTCACCTCTCGTCTGGACTATTATAACGCTTTCTACATGGGGCTACCCTTGAGGTGCACTCGGAGGCTCCAACTGGCGCAGAGTGCGGCCGCGCGGGTGGTTATGGGAACGACGTGGAGTTCCCATGTAACACTTCTCCTGCGCGAGCTGCACTGGCTCCCGGTGGTCTTCCAAGTGCGCTTCAAGATTCTGGTTATCACCTTTAAAGTGCTCCATGGCTTAGGACCTGGTTATCTACGGGACCGCCTGCTACCACCAATAGCCTCCCACCGGCCAGTACGCTCCCATAGAGAGGGGCTGCTCCGGGTGCCATCAGCCAAACAATGTCGACTGGTGGCCCCTAGGGGGAGATCCTTCTCTGTGGGGGCACCTACGATCTGGAATGAGCTCCCCCCAGAGATACGAAGGATCCCGGATCTGCGCACCTTCTGTTGCGTGCTTAAGACTTTTTTATTTCATCAAGCTGGCCTGGCCTAAATCTTCTCCCCTTTTTTTAAATGTAAATTTTAATTTATTTTTAAATTATGGGGTATTTTAAATTCAGCCAAATTATTTAATTCATTTTTATTCTATTTTAAATTTTTGTATTTATGTGATTTATCCTCTGGCTGTTCACCGCCCTGAGTCCTTCGGGAATAGGGCGATATAGAAATTTAAATAAATAAAATAAAATAAATAAATATAAAATCCTTTTCCCCCAGAAAAACAATGTGAAACGATTTGATTGAAATAATACCTTCTATTGTTTCCACTGATCTTATTAACCTTTATGTGCAAACTTGCACTCTTTAATTTACAACACTTTTCAAATTATTGTCAAATAGTATAACAAATACTGTAATGTGAATTGAATAAATTATCCTCTGGCACTAATAAATTAATAAACAGCATAAATAAAAATGCCAGTAATCATGCTTATGATTGGTTTTGAAATTAGAAAAGAATGAAACAAATTGTGAGCTTTCTTTCCACATCCCTTTCTTTAAATGAACTTTCCCATTTCACATCAGTTCACAGGAATATGTATTAGATTAGGCAAAACCCATCATCCTCCAGCATCTTTTTCTCTAAGTCATTCCTTGAAAGCAGGAAATGGAAATTTACCTTTCTCCTATCACTGTTGTCTTGCATCTTTTATTTGGAGACATGCTATTCCTAATGTGAAGGTGACATGACTGGTCCTTGACAGATACCTTCTTAACAATTTATCCAATATACTCTTGAAACCACCTAAGTTAGCTATCATATTGTTTTCTGGTAACAAATTTTACAGATTCAGCTTAGTGTGGCTATGGTATCAGGACTACGATTAATGTTAAAAACTCTAATTTGAACTCATTTACCATGTTGAATTTTAGTTTCAAACTATGGGCAAGATGGAATTAATGTAAGTAACAATATAATATTTAACCATGTTTAAATCCAACTGAAAAATGTGCAGTGGAGAAATCTCATGACACTATGGTCAGTTCCTAGATTTTCAATTATAACTTTGAGATTACTGGCAAGTATCAGTTTTAGTTTTATACATTTATATTATTTCAGCATTCATTGTTTGTGATATATGTTACCTTTTTAGCAACAGTTTCTGGTGGTACATCTCGCCTTCCAAGTGGATATGGATTCCATTGGTTGCCAGAAGAAATATCTTCCTGTCCATTGTCTAAAATGCTGCTTTGTTGTGATGGGGTCTATTTTTAAAATATTGATACATTACTTAGTCAGAGTAATGCAAGCACCTCTTTTTTATTTACTAAGTTACTTTATAACTGTATAGACACATATCTGTATAGAATACATATCTTGCAATTTACTAATTATGCACACACATGAATATCAATATATACATATGTACTTAGATACGTATATTATAATATACTTTTATAGATTGCTAAAAATTGGATAAAGATCTTAATAGACTTCCAAAGAATATGTAGAAGGTTCCAATATCAGAATATTACCATTGTTTAAATATGGTTAAGATAGAAGGCTTGGTTTCTATTTCTAAATACTTTATAACAGGCATAACTATCCAAATGGAAGAAAAATGATCAATTCTTTCTCCCATCCAAAATTTAATGTTAGAATGGAACTATAATTATTTCAAGCTGCCCCAGTGTAGTTATATCAGTGTGATTGGTGGCAGATAAATGAATGAATGAATAAGTAAATAAGGATTGTACAGGTAGTCCTCAATCTATGATAACAATTGAGCCCAAAATTTCTGTTGCTAAGTGAGACATTTGTTAAGTGAGTTTTGCCCAATTTCATGACCTTTCTTGCCTCAATTGTTAAATATATCACTGTTGTTGATAAATTAGTAACCTGGTTGTTAAGTGAATCTGACTTCTGCATTAACTTTGCTTGTCAGAAGGTCGCAAAAAGGGATCACATGACCTTGGGACACAACAATGGCTATATATTTGAACCAGTTGACAAACATCTGAATTTTGATCACATGACCCTGGGGGTGCTGAAAAGGTTATAACTGTGAAAAATGGTCATAAGTCACTTTTTTCAGTGCCATTGTAACTTTGGTCACTAAATGAACTGTTGTAAAATGAGGACTACCATAACAATATAATCTTTGTGGCCCCATAGTAATTTTTATGTTATAAATATGAAAGGGCTGGTTTAAGTAGAGGAAGAATTAAAAAAAAGAGATTATATGACATCCATTATGATAGGTGAATAATTTCTGTATTTAAAGGTTGAGTTACTAATTTTAGATGCATCAAGGAAACAACCATCTTGCAGGACCTTAACACTGTTACTGTAATATGGTATAATGCTTTTAATGTCCAAAGAATAAAAGCATTTGGAATTAGATATACAGGTCCTTTTACTGCATTTGTCTATATGAAAACATAAAGTTCAGAATGATAAAATAATCATAGGAAGAATAATCATATACTCCTGATTAAAAACATAATAAAAAAACTGAATGAACTTTACCAGAGTCAAACTTTTTTTTGCAGTAGAATTTTACATATCAGAAAAAAGGTGTCTTAGGCATTCTTTGTAAAACATTTAATTAAGAAACTATACGTTGGTAGAAACTGCCAACCAAATGAGGCTTGAAAAGATACAACTGCTTTAGTTTGGAAATTTTGTAATACTTTTTATTGAATGCCTTGTACAGCCCTTTTTTCCTAACTTTAATGAATCTTTAATGAATTTTCATTAGAGAGTTTTACATGGAGACTTGATCGCCATTTTATTAAGTGAACCTTTTAATCAAGGAATGTCCAATTCACAGGAAGATCAACGGATGACTGAAATTAATGATTAGTTTAAACTACTCATAGTATTACCAAACATCTTATTATGCATATTTTGATTGCTTGTAAAGAAGCAATCACATGTTTTTTAATAACACACTCATTTCCTTTCTTTAGTTATAAATATTCTTGGCATTATCAGCCTTACTTGGTCGAGGTAAATAAATATGCACATTTTTTACACTTTAAAGGTGGGAGACAGGAATCATAAATGTATTTAAGTCAATCCTGTAAAGATTCTAGTACATTTCTAATCCAAAGGAATCCTATGACATTATTCTAGAACAGGGGTGCCAAACTCACATTGTCCCGGTGGCGTCACGTGACGTATCGGGACTCCCCCCCCCTTTGCTAAACTGGGCATGGCCAGTGCGTGACACATCCAGCCTGTGGGCCGGGAGTTTGACAGCCCTGCTCTATAACATTTCTCTGTATGCTTGGGAACTAGCCTTAAGCAACACAGTCTGGCATGAATCCAGTGGTCTGTATTTGTAGGAATACCTACATCCAATTTAATTTTAAGTGGATAAACAAGAGCTTGCAATGGGATAGAAGTATTCTATTTATTCTGCATTCTTACACGACATGGTCATAAGTTAAAATTTGATTAATATTTTCCATTAATAGGAGAGAATCATATTAAGATGTCAGAATCACATTAGATGAAAATTACACAAACTTAAGGAACAATTCATTAGTTCTTCCAATTTCAAGTTCATATGTAGAAATGCAAAATCAGCTCAATAATAAAAAAGGATATATATCAATGGGGAAAATCAAAGTATAGTTATTTTAATGCCAGGACCCACTAGCTTGTTTCAGTGATGTCCAACACCTTCTTATACACTGAGAAAAAAACATATACCTGCTCACAAGAGGATGCTTCCTTTTTTTAAAAAAAAGAAAAGAAATAAAATGAAAGTAAATTATTAATGTTGCTAATTCTAGAAAGGACAAAGAGAGGGATCAATATCATAAGTATATACAGTAATGCAAAGTGGGTAAGAGTCAAAATGTGCATTGCTATATCATTATGCAAGTCCCATTACTTGCATAGTTGTGTTCAGGGTCAGGACACAGGTACAAGAATACTTTATAATTTGGTTCCGTTAATTCATATCCTCTATTCAGAACATCTTTTGCCCATTTGTGTGTAGTTGAACAAGTTAAAAATATTTTGAACTTATAATATATTTTAGAATACCACTTACACAATCACGAGCCTATTTCTTTCTGCCCAAGAAACTGACTGGATGAATTTGAACTTCATTCAGAACTTTCTGTAAAATGTTGTGGGATATATCCCATCTGGATTTTTAAATACACTTGGGGTTAGATACAACATATAGCTAACTCTACAACAGTTTACATACAGAAACACACAAATACAGTAAAAGATGTGAGCAGGACATACATCTGACATTTCTCTTGAGTTATAAGCTAGTCTTAATCAGGAATATAGTATCTGTAGATTCTGATTCCTGAAATGCTATCTTAAATTAAAAGAATTTGTAATGAAGTTTTTGTAGTAACGTTAGGTAGCTGAATGGCCCATGACATCTCTAAACATTGACAACATGAAACATAATTCTTAGATCTTTCTGGTTAACATATGGAGTTCTGTACATCAGTCTGCAAGAGAAGAGCAGAAAGCAGCATGACTGAGATGTGTTGAGCCAAATTACTTGGAAAAGCAGAGAGGTCACATGGGCAAATTAGGTTTAACTTCGCTTTTTGGATCGCTTTTGGGACACAAGCATGAATAATAGAAATGAGCTAAAAAGGGAGAGGAATATGGAGGAGAATTTATTATGTGACTTTGATATATGCAAGCTATCTCATACTTACTTTCGGTAGAGGTAGCTCTTGATGCATTTGGTTTTCAAATTTAGATTTAGTCTGCAAGTTTAATGTCATGCTTCTGCCCGCATGCATTGCTGACAAACCTCCAGAGCGCAGCATGCCAAGGTTAACAGTGTTGTGTTTATAAGCAGCAGTCTGAGTAGAGGAAATAACAATCACGTGACGAGATATGAACACACATGCTTATTTAGAAAAAATACTGCACATATATGATTTTCACATAGTCTCAATTAAAGCAAACAAACAATACCAAGAAATAAGGAGCTTATTTATGCATGCACTGTAAGACAGAAGCACAGAGAGTGCTATTTGTACATAAAATGGTTACAGTACCATAAAAAGACACTGACATAAAAAAAGCAAACTTCATACCAATGGTCTCTAAATCATAGTTAATATACAAAACCAAGTTAACTTTGTGAGGAAGGAAACACTGAGATACTTTATTTACCTCTTTACAATAAAATATCATATGTCATCTCAGAAACTAAATAAATTGGGAAGAAAATGCAGAAGGTCCAGAGAACTTTGAGAAAGAAAAAGTAGTTTAAACCATCAAATTTGGGGGAAGACAAAAATGTTTAAAAAGTCAAATAAAATAATACTTGTTTGTGAATAAGCTTAACCACACCAAAACATGATGTGGCTGGATATTTGAATCTTTCACAACTGACATATTAATTCCTAAACATCAATAAGCCCAACAGGTGAATTTCACACAGAACACAAGACAACATTTATTAAACTTGACCATCAAAAGCTGTATCTTAAAATTGATTTTACTCAATTTACTAATGTATATTGGAACGTACAGTATATTATTTCTGTGTCGATTATGATGAATATATACTGGCAAAAGATTATGCATTATATACTATCTAGAATCCAATTTAGAAAAAGGACAGAGATCCTGACTTACTCCATTCCTATTAGGTCTCAAAACAAACTATGCTGATTTAGTTTATTCATTAAGCAAACCAATGATTCATTATGTCCAGTTTTGCCAAATACCAGAAATGCTGGTTTCAACAACTGTTGTAAAATGTAGTCATGTGATCTTAGGAAGCTGCAAACAGCTTGTGATGACCCAGGGCACGGCAGAGAGATAACACAAACAGCTGGCAGTTCAAACCATCCCTTTATTGCTCCAAAGCTCCCCAAACGCTCCCACATTTCTGGCAACTCCCAGAGCAGAGTGAGAACAAATCCCCACACAAAGCTCAAGCAGCCTCTGGCTGCAATTAGTCCAGCCAGCGCTTTCTGCACCAAGGCTGCACGGCAATAAATCCTAAATGTTTTTGGCAAAACAAGAGTCAAGCAAGGACTTCAGGGAGCAAAAGATTCAGATAATTAGTCCAGAACTCCAACAAGGAATGCAAGGACTCTTGGCAAGTTCAAACGTCAGCACACAACACTTCAGGAACTCAGCGTTCCTGACAAATGCCCCTCCCATGACGTCTTCTTAAGTCTCATTCCCCAGGTGTGCCTGGTGAAGCTGGGCAGGGCACTCTTCTCGCACATGGCCTGCTCTGTCTGCACTGATCACACCTTCTCTGTACTCTCCGAGCCCTTGCATCAGGAGGGGTGGTTCTTGCTCCTCATCTGAGCTCTGTCTCTCCTTCCTGCCTGCAGGCTTTATGAATTCTGAACAGCCTTGCCTGGACTGACTCTGCCCTTCCCCAGTTTCCTCTAAGGCTAACAGATCTGCCCTTTCACTCACTGTCAGTTCTTGTTCCAGCTCATCTTCCGCCGTAGATTCAGACTCTGCCGGGGGCATGACACTATCCTCCCACAGGGCCCTCTCCATTGGGACCATGTGGATTGGGATGTTGTGGGAACTGGGCGTGGAAGTCATGGAACAGTCCTCCGGTCCATAACCTTTCCGTGCCACAAGGTACTGAAACTAGCCCCTCAACTGACGGGAATCTTAAATGCTGTCCACTTTATACTCTGTCTCTCCCTGAGGGGCTACTGATCCTGGTGGTGGTAGAGCTGGTCGATGTGAACTGTCAGCTGATACTAGTACTAGCAATGACCGGTGGAAGACCAAGTGAATCCACATGGTCTGCAGCAAGGATGAGGGGAAGGCGGTACCGGTTCCGTATTGTGATCGCATTCAACTTGTGATAATCACAGCAGAGGCTTCTTCTTGACAAAGAACACCGGTGCAGCCAATAGGGCCTGGTGGCTCAGCAGACTGATAGCATTGTGATTAACACCAGCTGTCTGCAATTACTGTAAGTTCAAATCTCACCAGGCTCAAGGTTGACTCAGCCTTCCATCCTTTCTAAGGTAGGTAAATTGAGGACCCAGCTTGTGGGGGCAATAAGCTGACTTTGTATAAATATACAAAAGTATGAAGGCTATTGCTTAACACATTGTAAGCCGCCCTGAGTCTCCGGAGAAGGGCGGCATATAAATCAAATTAAAAATAATTTTAAAAAAATGGAGAGGTAGAAGGCTGAATAAACCCCTTCCGGAAATTCTTCTCGGTAAAGTCCCCATAATGCAGCCAACTCCGTTTCTGACAGGGAGTAAATCTGACCCACTGGCAATTTGGCATCGGGCACCAACTCAATTGGGCAGTCATAAGACCGATGCGGGGGCAACTGATCTGCCTCCTTTTCACTGAACACATCAGCATAATCTACCAAATTCACAGGTAAGTCCAGGTCCACATGCCACAGGCCTGCAGGCGATGGGTGGCACACTTATTGCCAGGGAACTGCACTGCCCCAGATGACCAGACGATCTGTGGACCATGAGCCCATAACCATACCAGCTCCAGCATTACCGGGAAGTGAGGCACTGCGGTAACATAAAACATGGTTTCTTCCACATGTGGTCCAATGTGCACGGCAACCATGGGACCTGAACGAAGGGACCGACCATCAATCATTTCCACCATGTCCAGCAGTGACACCTGCTGCTGGGGAATGGACCACTGCACGGCAAATGCCGAGTCCATGAAGTTGGCCATAACCCCTGAGTCCACCAGGGCCTGAGTCTCCACCGCTCCCTGACTTGGCACGAATACACTCGCTGCTAGAACGAGGTGCTTCATAAAAGCTGTCTGTGGTGGAGATGGTTGGCCCAATGCCCTTTGAGCCTGATGTACAGAACCCTCTAGGCTGGGCCATGCCTGTTTCCCACCGCTGCTCCTGCCGCTGCTTTGGGTGCCTTAGCAGGACACTTGGCCGCCATATGGCCTTGGCCACCGCAATACAGGCAAAGGCCTTCATGGTGCCACCGATCCTTTTCAGCTTGGGTCAGGTGAGGTTGTGCAGCCCACAGCTGTATCGACTCATCAGGTAGCAGTACCAAAAGCAGCACCGCCTTAACAGGTGCGGGCATGGCCTCCGTCTGTTGTGGGGGCACAGGTGTCCGATGCAAAGGCACAGGTGCATGACCTCCTGGAGTGTTTGATGGAATTCGGTGTACACCAGCTCATCCAGGAGCCCCGACGAAAGACCTTCCTGGAACTGGTCCATAAGCGCCACCTTGTTCCATTGCAGTTCCTGGCAGACCACCCGGAAGTCAGCAATATAGTCGGTGAGTGAGCCACGCCCCTGCCGCAACTCTCTCAACTGCCTGTTAGCCGTTTGGACCCTAAGAGGGTCTTCAAACATGGCCCTTAGCTGACAGCAAAACTCAGCATAATTATCCAACAGCTGGTTGGGCTGGGTTAGCAGAGGCATCGCCTAATGCGCCGCTGATCCCAACAAAATGCTTATCAAAAATCCCACCTTATCCTGGTCAGTGGGGAAGTCCTCAGGCCAAAGGCTCATATAAAGCTGGCACTGCCCAAAAAATGCTGGAAATTGGGCCAGCGAGCCATTAAATTTATCCAGCACAGCTACCAGGTATTTGCGGAGTGGCCTGGCTGCTTGCATCTGTACAACCTGTGCAGTCAGGAGGGCCACCTGCTGGGCTAACTGATCATTGTCTGCTCGGAGCTGATCCATGGTCACTCAACGTGGTACGGAAGAGCAAGTTGGAGTTGGGTTGGGAACAAAATGTGATGACTCAGAGCATGGCAGAGAGATAACACAAACAGCTGGCAGTTCAAACCGTCCCTTTATTGCTCCAAGGCTCCCCAAATGCTCCCATGTTTCTGGCAAGTCCCAGAGCAGAGTGAGAACAAACCCCCCACAAACCTCAAGCAAGCCTCTGGCTGCAATTAGTCCAGCCCAGCGCTGCCTACACGGCAATAAATCCCAAATGTCCTTGGCAAAACAAGAGTCAAGATTCAGTGCCTGAATTTCGACTATATGACCATGAAGATGCTGCAATGGTCGTGTGAAAACTGGTTGTAAGCATTAAAACTGATCGTAAATCACTTTTTTCAGTGTTGTTGTAACTTTGAATGGTCAGTGAACAAATGGCTGTTATTTGAGGACTACCTGTATCCAAAGGGTCCCCTAATCCAGGGCTGAGTGCAACTGATGCACAAGATGAATCTGTGTCAAGGCCTTCTTGGCTACAGCTGCCACCTACTCCAACGAGAGCTACAAATCTTCAGGGGAGAAGTGCAGCCCCATCTAAGATTAAAGATAGGAAGGATAGATAGATAGATAGATAGATAGATAGATAGATAGATAGATAGATATAACTGAAGGGGCACTGGTGCAAATATCCACAATTCCTTGGTTTCATTCCAGTCCATTACTCCCCTTAACCACCAACCTCTAGACATGCACCCAGGATGACAGCATCACATAGAAAGTTATAAGCACTGCTGAAAGCCTTCTCTCTAATGTCATATTTATATAGCAATATCTCTTCATTTTAAAAGAAACACAAATGCCAAATTATATTCATTCATACACACATTAAAAGAAAAATAAAATAAACTAACCAAAGAATAATGTTCACAGCTTGCTATAGCCAATTCTTCTTGCTTTTCTTTTCCCTAACATTCAGATTTAGGATCGACAGTCAATCTTAGATCTGAGCCTTTTAGCAGCATGTAGCAAAACAAAAAAACAAAAACAAATCTCAAGAAATAAGATATTCGTTTTTCTTTCTGCTTTCTGAGCTCCCTTTCTGTGTTCTCTAAATTAATGCACTTTTTCCAGGGATTAGAATATAAGCTTTGTTGTTCAGAATAATGATTCATTGAAGCACATTTTTTTGAGAATCTGCTTTGAATTATAATTTTCCCACTATTAATCTCCTTGTCTCCCATGCTCCTATGTGAGATTGCAATTAATTTAAGCATAGGAAAATTATTTCTTTATTTGACTGATTGTGGGTTAAAATTTTAATCATTTATTTAAGCACATAAGTTTCTTTTTAAAAAGAGACTTCAGGCAAGCAATGTGGAAAACAAATGTGATGAAAAAAATAATTTAAATCATAGCACCATTATCTAAAGCTTTTTTGTGATAAGGTGACATATGACAGCCAGTTTGATGTAAGGTTAAGGCAATAGCCTAGAAGCCAGGAGCCTCTGAGTTCTAGTCCTGCTTTACACATGAAAGCCAGCTGGGTGACTTCAGGCCAGTTATTCTCTCTCAGCCTAACCAACCTCACATCGTTATTGTAGTGGAAAAATAGGAGGTGGAAGGCGTACTAGGTATGTTTGCTGCTTCGAGTTACTTTTAAAGTAATAAAGGTGGGTTAAAAATATATACATACTGTACAGATAGTGCTTCTCATCTCAGAGGGAAGCTCTTCTATCAAAGGATAGAGCTCCATGTCCATAAAAAGATGAATCGTACAAGTGATCAATACTGCAATATTTACTTATCATATTTATCCATTTATAAAATTTTAATTCTTTGTTGATGTAATGAATAGAAGGAATAACTTTGAAGACCGAAGGAAGAGACGCGCTAAAATAATGGTCAGATGAAAGAAATTTGAGTCCAGGGAAGAACTGTAACCTGAGGAAATGTCTCACACAAAGTGCTTCCTATTTCTCCTAAGATAAAGGAAGAGAGGAGCGAAGCGCATTCAGACTTGCAAGATTCTATTTCTATAATCTTATAATAAATGTTAGTTCAAGTCCCATTTTAGCCATGAAAGCCAGCTGGGTGACCTTGGCCCAGTCATTTTCTCTCAGCCCAACGTAACTCACAGAGTTTTTGTTATGGGGAAAATAGGAGGAGGAAGATATGCTGGATATGTTTGCCGTCTTGAGTTATTTGTAAAAATAAAAAAGGCGGGATACAAATAAATAAATAAATAAATTAGTATGCATGGTCTATCTTGAAGGGTTGACAAGTCTCCCACTGTTGCATTCATTTATGATGGGTAGGCGGGTATACTGCTCATTCCCAAAGACTCTGGGCGGCCAACAAGATAAGCATAAAATAAAAGGCAAATCCTTCAAAAATAAGACCATTTATAAGCGTGATGGCAAACCTATGGCACGCGTGCCAGAGGTGGCAAACGGCACCCTCTCTGATGGCACATGAGCTGTCATCCCAGTTCAGCTCTGCCGTGCATGCCTCCCGCTGGACAGCTGGTCTTTGGGGCTCTGCCATGCCTGTGCGGGGCGTGTGTGGGGGACGCATGCGCATGCACGAGGGGGCAGCGCATGTGGGGGAGTGCATGCATGCAGGGAGCCATGCATGCATGCACGGGAATGGGGTACGTGCGGAGGGGCCCGCACACCCATGTGGGGGGCTGCATGTGCATGTGGAGGGGTGCACACGCATTGTATTTTGGGGGTTTATGTACACATGCATGTTTGCGCGCGTACTTTGGGCACTTCGTCCGGAAAAGGTTAGCCATCACTGATCTATAATATGGGCAAAATTGCCCTCAAAATGATAAGTAGTAACTATACGAAATTATGTGCCTGCAAAATTCCAACCTTTACTCACAATGTATCTTTCTTCTGTGCTATATGGAACAATCAGGTCCATGAAACCCAGGATGGAAAGCGCAAAAAGGAACTCCGTAGGAGGGAATCCCAAAATAATGGGAGCAGCAATTGAAGATGCCCACTTCTAAGGTCCCATCAGATAACAATCTCATATTACATGGGGCCTGGCAGGACTTGACTATTCAGTTTGATTATAACAGGCAGATGTATACAGAAGGTGTTCCTTAGATAACTTGATCTGGAGTTATCTAAGGTCTTAAGGGTGACAATACCTTGAATTATACCTAGAAACCATATGGTAGCCAACACAGTTCCCAAAACAATGTTGTCTGCCAACTACATTAGGATGTTCATCCTCGTTTGGACTGCTGAATTTTGTACCAGTTGTACAAAAGGAGGGCCCCATATAGAGCACATGATGGTTATCTTAATGAGAGGTGATTATGGCATGTGACTGTTTATAAGCTTATCAATTCTACTACTTTCCACTTTTCTGCTCCTATTCACTCAAACTCAATTTTTTCCCCTGCAGAAAGTTCCAACTGTGTGTTAGTTGTAGAAATATGCATTTATAATCCTGAATGGAAAAGTGAAGGTGAAGGGAGATGGTTTGGATTTTGTAAACTTCTATTTCCAAACTTTTAATTGCTGTAAAGGTATCAGTATTTTCTAAACTATTCTCCAATATGGCTATTCCAATGATAATGACGTTAAACCACTTTGATTAAACGTTTAGTAAGTTCTTAAACATTTTCAACTAGATTAAACCCATGCAGATTTTGAGTTTTCATTTCCTGATGATTTAGCACTGAAATTACAATCAAAAACATTATAATTCTGCATTCATAGGATTATACAAATCAACAGTTGACTCAGCCTTCCATCCTTTCTAAGGTAGGTAAATTGAGGACCCAGTTGTGGGGGCAATAAGCTGACTTTGTATAAATATACAAAAGGATGAAGGCTATTGCTGAGCACATTGTAAGCCGCCCTGAGTCTCCGGAGAAGGCGGCATATAAATCAAATTAAAAAAAAAACAAAAAAAAAAACCCCAGTGTATATTTCTTTTGTTCATGAAAACCAGATAAGCTAAAAATAAGCTCTGTGATATAGTTGCTTTCCACATATGCAGTAACAGAGAACTATAAAGACTGTATTAGTTGTTACAACCAAATGGTTAGTTTAGCTCTTACTGAATCATAGCTAAACTGAACTGCTTTCAGACATTCATTCTTGTTCATTTTGCTTATTTAAACATGCAAATGCAGCAATAGATTCTGAAATATACATAGTGGTCAGGGTAACAGTAATTTTATGGCAAGAGCCAATTTGGTGTCATGGTTAAATCATCAGTCTAGAAATTGGGCGCCAGTGAGTTCTAGTCCCATCTTAATTACAAAGTCAGTAGGATGGTTTTAGGCCAGTCATTTTTTCTCAGCCCTATAAGAAGGCAATGGCAACCCAGTTCTGGAAAATCCTTGCCAAGAAAACTTCTGGAACTTGTCCAGGCTGTCTCCGAAAATCAGACACAACTGAACAGAAAAAAGTGACAGAAAATTTGAGCATAAAGAAAATATGAATCATATAGACTATTAATGATTCATATTTTCCAAAATAATTCAAATATTTTTGCTAATATATTTGTTTATCTGAATTTTGCATTTTTTACAAGAATCTACAGAGATGAACTTCTTCACATTTAACCTACAATCAAGGCAATCCAGATGAAGAAAAAACAGTATATAGTAGACAAAATAAATAAGAAAATTGCAGTGCTTTAAAAGGTTGATGAAAAAATGTTCTGAGAAAGTCTATGAAAGAGATAGGTCTTTCAATAAATCAAAAGCAATACATGTACACATTTAGTATAATCTCATTTTTTTGAACATTTAAGTATTTTTTACACTTTAACTATGAAATGCAGTTTAAGACAAAAAACAGTTCTGCAATTATTTCAGTGTAGTTCAGTGTAATTTTCTAAGAACATCCTGAGTGTTCCCTTTTCTTATACACGATTATAAAGTTATAATTTCAGGTGGAAATAGTATTTTTTAATTCTTTCAAACTGTTATCCTACTGAAAACTGCTTCTCTCTATTGCTTTTACTCTCAGTGGATAAAGAGTTACAAGTGGCTGTATTTTGCATGGAATTCATAGGTCTGGGAATAATGAATTCATTTCACAATAAAAACAGAAGCAAAGGAAGACATAGAGAAATTTTCCCTGCAACAGTGTTGTGCTGAAATTACAAGTTCAGATTGAATTAGTTGTGAAAAATAGAGTCAGAGAAAATCCTAAAACCATATGTGATACACTGCTCCTTTCTCTGCATATAGGACTTCTAAATTATTTCTTGCTATTTCAGTTATTATAAAGTATTTTATTCAAAGAGTAAGCACCAACATCCTAATTATGGCTCCAAATAATACAATGACTTATAATTATATTTACCTAGTGCAAAAAACATCAACTTCCATTGAGTTAATCTGTACATTTATCAGATATTTGTTACTGAAGAACATCATTCTTATGTACATTTGTAATGTAACTTGGAGTTAGCCTACTCTGAGGTGTTTTTACTTAGGTAAAGCTAAATATACCTAGATATACTGTAAATTAAACTTAAAGCAGTTAATTTACTTCCAAACACATTGGTTTAAGGCTTAGGTATCAGAATATCAATATGTAATTAATTCCTGTAATTGATCTTCTATCCTGGAAATCAACAAATTAATCTGCCATGACTGAATGGCACATCAATCATTGTGCAACAAAAGAGAGTCTTATTCATAAACACAGAAAAAACTCTGTGATTTTAGGGGGTTTCTCTGGATGTCCTTCAGAATTTTGGATTGTGCCTATTCAGCGAAATCTTTCTGGACCATAAATATACATAGTTTTTGTTTGGAATTTATTCTGTCATTTTCTCTTTATAATGTAAAAAAAAGTAGAATATAAATACAGCCTCAGTTTAGTAGTGTTCTGATAAATATTTTAACTTAAAAAATACAGTAAGTCATCACTGAAACATTATTTGAAATATTTTTTTAAAATATGAGTGATGTTTTTCCTCAATTCTCACTTCAAGAATTCCTGAAATGTATACACATTTATCTATCTTAACAGAGAAAGGCTTATAATATTAACAAATAGCATATTAATCACTGCAAACAAAAATTTTGAATATAAAGAAAACTCAAGGCATGAATTACAAAGAAATGCCAGACATACCCTGTCTAACCTTCTAGCTTCTATATGTCTAAGTAGCTGTTGTCTCCAGTCAGCAGGCATTTTACTCTCATTGCCCTTCACAGGAGTAGGCCTTGTCTTTAAATCAGGATTATCTGACGGCTTCTCACCATAGTTACTCAAGTTATAGTCAGACGGTATTTTTTCCAACAGAGCCGCCATTGTCGGCCTAGCTGAAACTGGCCTGGTTTGGGAGGTACCATAACTCTCTGTACTGTAGCTCCTTGCAGACAAAGGCCTCCTTTGCGTTAGGTTTTTAACAGGGAAGCTTCCAGACTGGGTTTTCACTTCTTGATATGAAGGGTGTTCATCTTCATACCTGCCATTTCTTTTGAGGAACTGGGATTCAGATACTGAAATGCTGCTTTGGCGTTCCACAGCTCCTCTATACTGATGTCTGTTATACCTATCGCTTTGAGGCATTTCATGAGGTTCACTGACTCTTCTATACATGGACATTTCAGTGGAGCTGGCCAATGAATCTGCTCTTCTTAAAAATCCAGCCCTTGATCCCTGACTTGTCAACTGAGTATTGACAGTCTCTTCATTAACAGAAGGCTGTGAGAAGGAAAACATGTGTTCCATGGGTGGATATCCTCGGTAGGCTCTGGGACTAACCAAATCCTTAGAGACATTTTTCGTCTGTTGGGGAATGTATTCTGGAGTATGTTGGAAAGGGGGCGGTAGTCTTTTTTCAGCTTTCACTTCTACCGATCCTTGAGGATTAAAACTTTGGTCAAACTGGTATACTTTTTTAGTCACAGAGGGCTTTTGCTGTTGGACCTTTACACTTCCGTAAGTCAGAAGTTCATCATCAAGCATTGGCACAGACTGGCTACGGGACATACTAGACATTCCATGTTCTGGCCCCAACATCTTATCTTGTCTGTCATGTATCCCTGCGTTATCAGTAGTAGCTGCATAGTTCTCTAATGGTATGTTATAAACTTTATATGCACCAATATCTATCTCATCTATACTTTGTGATTTCTTAAACCGGCTTGTTTTTAAATCTCTCATCATTGGAGAAAGCCGCTCTGTACTTTTGCTGATGGAAATAATATTTTTAGAAAGCTCTGGGCGACAGTGAATGTGTGAAAAGACATTGCTGAGACTTCTGTTAGTATTGGAATCATGATATTCCCATGGTGCACCTGGAGAAAAAGTACTAGATATTTCAGGAGAGTCTTTAACAAGGTCTTTCCTTTCAGGTAAAGGGCTGCTATTAGGGGTGATCTCCAGCTTAGAAGGAAAAGCTGTCCTATCTTCAAAGGGGCTGGGTGTTCTTGTCCAGTTCTGCCAAGGGTTTGATGGAGGCACTTCTGATTCAGGGGTATTTCGGATAGTGGGTTGCTCAAGTTCTAGGGGAATACCAACTATCCTGTCTTGCCTAATTAAAGGCCTGCGTCCATGAGCAGATGTGCTTCTTGATTTGGAGCTTAAGAGAGGATTAGTGCTAGGATTCTCCACTGTGTTCTCCTCTGCCACAAATCCTGTGTTATCATAGTGAGAGCTGTCATTCCAACTGTCAGCAAAGGCATCACTCATTGGACGCCTATCATTGTGTTGCTGTAAATTTCCTGCTGGAGCAGATTCCCGTTGACTGAGTAATGGCTTGGTCTCAAGGGGTTGTGGGAAAGATTGGACAAGTCTGCAAGAAACAAATATTTTTTAAAAAGTGCATCAGAAAACAATCAATTACAGCAGATTAAAATGTTAACAAATACCTGATCATTATTGCATACATAGTTTAACCAATCTATTACCAAATGGAATGTTAATTTAGGTTGGAGTAGAATACGAAAATTGATTGGATGATCTGTTTCTGCCAAAGTTGATTTGTTTTAAATTCTGCAATAGAATTTTATACAAAATATTATACAAGCAGAAGAGACAAATTTTCGGAACAACGAGGCCAATGAAGCACTTCTAAGCTATATTGATGTGCTTAGCTCTTTTCTTGTTATCAATGAAATCCACCTTGGAATGAATTGTTTTCCATCCAAATAGCAGAACTGGAATGAAATAGAAATTGGACGGTGAGGGAGGGAGGGAGGGAGGGAGGGAGAGAGAAAAGTAATAGAAAAGCAAAAATAATTTACTTACTCCCTCCCTCCCTCCCTCCCTTTGTAATAAATTCAGGAATACATTTAAATACTAATGGAACTTAAGCACATAGCAATGAGCTTACCATCAATGTCAAAGCCTCTTTCAAAAAGTAATTGGCTATATCCCTGAAGGAATAAAATTGTCCAGGAGTTAATTTAAACAGGTGTATATTGATTGAAAAAAACTAGATGACACATAATCATTACATAACCTTCTATGACCTTTGATTAGTATTTTCAGTAGAAACAGACCCTTGGTAATTTGTGAAAGGTATAAGAAGTTTTGATTTTTGTTTCATTCATGAAGCATACAAAAATTCTGAATTCTGGATAGGAGATTTGCAGAAAAATCAAGAATCAAAGACAAGAATCAGGCCCTAAGCATTATTTTCTGAATTTGGCTGAATTTGTACTTTCAGTTTTTTTAAAAAATGTAGGATTTACTGGGTTTTTTTTTAGTTCTGTTTATTTAAGCTTTTTGGTTAAATAAACTATATATCCCTATAGTCAACTTGAGTTTAATTAAATAAACACACCTGTTACCCCACAATGAATTATTCACTGCATCTTTAGCTGTAGTCTGCAAAGATCCTATTTTAACATGAGCATTAGAAGACCCGGAAGAAGCTTGTGATGGAGAGTAGTCTGAGTAGGTGCCTGAAGAAACACTGTTATTCATGCAGTGAACTTTATCGGCTTCAGACTCATCAGTTGATTCTGGAGAAAACAAAGTAACTTGTTAATATGAAATTAAAAATCCAGGGATGAATTTTTAGAAAAAAAAATAGCAATAGTACTTAGACTTATGTACTGCTTCACAGTACTTTACAGCCCTCTAAGCAGTTTACAGAGTCAGCAAATTTCCCCCAACAATCTGGGTCCTCATTTTACTGACCGTGGGAGGATGGAAAGCTGAGTCAACTGTGAGCCGGTGAGGATCGAACCTCTGACAGTCAGCAGAATTAGCCTGCAATACTGTATTCTAATCACTGCACCACCACCGCTCTTCATATATACAAAAGATATAGATTAGAATAGAATAATAGAGTTGGAAGGGACCTTGGAGGTCTTCTAGTCCAACCCCCTGCTTAGGCAGGAAACCCTACACCACTTCAGACAAATGATTATCCAACATCTTCTTAAAAATTTTCAGTTTTGGAGCATTGACAACTTATGGAGGCAAGTTGTTCCACTGATTAATTGTTCTAACTGTCAGGAAATTTGTCCTTATTTCTAAGTTGCTTCTCTCCTTGATTAGTTTCCACCCATTGCTTTTTGTTCTACCCTCAGGTGCTTTGGAGAATAGTTTGACTCCCTCTTCTTTGTGGCAACCCCTGAGATATTGGAACACTGCTATCAAGTCTCCCCTAGTCCTTCTTTTCATTAAACTAGACATACCCAGTTCCTGGGTATATAGGTTATAATTAAACTTGGAAAAGTGATTTCCCATCCTTTTCTGTTCTGTTTAGCCACATATCTGCTTCTGCTTGGACTCCATATAAAAAACAAATGCAGCTAATCAGCATTATCTTCTGCTTGATTTTCTATCTTCAGTCACATGGAACACTTGCAGAGATGATAGCAATGAATTAATGCAGATTGCCTTACACAGTGCATTGATTTATTATTATACTTTTGTGCTTTGCTTCTCACATATGTTTGTTAAAATAGCTATTTTTCTTTGATTAAAATATATTAACTATATTGGTATATAATTGAATTGAATTTTTTGTTTTGCTATTGAAGGATGCTTTTGCAGCATTCCACACTCTCCATGAGCTTAAGCAAAGTGCAAAGGTCACAGACAAGATGACCCAAGAACTTTGCTTGAAGATGGATCTGTTGTCTTTCCTCAGTAAATGAAAGTACTGTAGCTATTATCAAGATATATTACTATGCAATATCTTCTTAGCTACAACTTCAATATGATGAAATGTTCATAATAATCTATCACCTCTGTATTATAAAACTATTTATAGTTTGGTGAGTAAACAACTATGCTACTCTATTCAGGATTCAGGATCAGTCTGATGCTTTATAATCATATACTTAAAAACATTTACCACAAAGTATCTCTGTATAAAGAACAATAGCAGCTCTGCATCGTTCTTCACCCATTATCTTCAGTTATGACACAGGTGTTCAGAAAAATCAAATACCTTTTTTTTCTTTTCCTAAGAGAACAAGTTTTGGTTGATATAATGGTGCATCAGTCATTGAGGGGCGAAGTTCTCCTATCCTCATGTCATTCACTGGGTGTACAAAAGAATCCTATAAATTGGAATTATATTGGAGAATTGAATATCATAAAGACACTAACAAAGATGCAATTTTCAGTGGACCTTAATCTATACTTTTATGAGAACTATGAATACTAAGTACATTCACTTGGAAGATAGTGGCAAATATTATCTGGCAAAATTCAGTGTTAAAATTATCCAATACATTAACCTACATATTAAAAATCAAGAAGCATGACTAGCAAACTCATGCTCACAAAAACATGATGACATGCCCCTGGCCTAATACACATACTTAGACAGCTTGGAACTACTGAGAGCCTGCTGCCTACTTCTCAGTAGTTCCATGCTGCAGAGTAGACCTGAATAGCCTGTGGAATTCAATCCTGCTTGCCAGAGCCTTCCGCCTCAGGGACCTCTCAGCCAAGACCAAGTGAGCCAAGTCCTGATCTGAGAGATACTGAGTGCACGTTCAGGAGGCTACACAGCACAGAAGTGCTAGAAGACTGTATGTTTTGGCAGGAAAATAGATGAGCTGCTACAGGATGATTGATGAGGCTCAGCTGTACGCTAAAAATGGACCTAGGGTGAAATATCTTAACATTCTCTTGCATGTGGAAATGATTTTTACACTGGGCGTATTGCTTGTTTTACTATAGTTATAATGTTTCTCTTAGACCAGGGGTTGGCAACCTTAAACACTCAAAGAGCCATTTGGACCCATTTCTCACAGAAAAGAAAACACTGGGAGCCATGAAACCGTTTTAACATTTAAAATGAAGATAACACTGCAAATATTGTTTTTTACCTTTATGCTATGTATAAAAAAACTATAGTGTGTTGCATTTATATAATCAATGAACGGCTACAGAGAAAACAAATTTTTATTTCTGCATGCAACAAAAACATTTTGAACTCTGAAAAAAAAGATGGGTCGAAAAGCTCAATAAATCACGTGCTGGTGGATGTGGCACATTGGCTGTTGTGACGCATGTTTTGAGCGACAGAAAGCCGCAGCAGAGGGATGAAAGAGCCAGATGTGGCTCCAGAGCCACGGGTTGCCGACCCCTGTTTTAGACCTTTAGACCTTATTGTTTGCTTGTTTTTCTGTGTTTCCCAATTTGTTTGGCATTTTAGATTAGTTTTCTATATCTTTTGTTGCAGCATATGTTTGCCTAAGGTATTTAAAGTCAAACTTGATTACTTCCTATTTCTTGCTGTTGCTTTTTTCACAATTTACTTCTGTACCTGGCATTGAAGAGTTTTATAACTGGTCAAGTTGCAGGACAAGCAGAAAACATGATAATTTTTTACTATTCTTTTAATTTTCATCAATTAATTCCCTCCTGCAATTAATTGCCATTCTGGATGAATTTATTTTCATATTATACTACCAAGGTTCTTGTTTACTAACATTATTTTTTTGTTATCTGTAATGGTTTAACAATGATTTTATTTAGTTTTTACTATTAATAAAACACTTTTTAAATAAAATGACTTGTGTGCAGAAAGTCATCTACCTGTGCAATTGGTTTCTAATGTATGTGCAAAATTGCTGAAAGAACACTCCATCTTAAAATTAATGATTATACTTTTCTCATAAGTCAAAGAGTCTTGCATATTACTTAAAACCGTTATGAAGCATTCTACCTTCTATATCTATCTTCTCTTGAGAAAACCAACTTTTCTGTTGATCATCTACTTTGGACCATCTAGATCTAGAAGTTCTCCAGATCTCCAAATCATATAATAATTACTAATAACTACTAGAGATATAGTATATTATATCTCTATATTATAACAATAGAGATAGATAGATAGACAGACAGATGCTGCTTCAATATTAAAACCATTACTTTAAAGAGCACTGGTGTTTATTTTTTGTTACCTCTGACAGCTCTTTTGTTGCCATGGGCCACTTGTGCTCAAATTTGTCTTTCACAACTTGTTCTGCACTGGCAGATGGTGCTGAATTCTCAGGCCTCACTCCATGGGTAGATTTGCCCACCAGATTTTGAACAGATTTCACCATGTTCTTTAAATCTTCTGGATATGGAGTTGGATAACGCTTTAAATTTATTTCAACCTGAATATGTAGTTAACAAAATAAATTAAAAGTAGAAGCAGAAAAGAAGAATAATCGTTAAAATTTTCACTTTGATTATCAAGGTGATATATATTGCAAAACACAGACAGTGAATTTAGGAATTTGAGACAATGTTAACATAAAACACCTGCTACACTGCACTTTTTGAAAAGCAAAAGCCAGTATCACTTAGAATAGGATGGTGCAGAATTCCAATCCATTGTTGTCAGTGATAAAAATTTGATTAAAATTATACCATGGTAGTTATGATGCAAAATATTCCTCTAATAGTTCAGGCAGATTCTAGAAATTCACTAATATGTGGAATGTCACTCTGGATCTATAACACAATATTGTGACTGCTTATCTGAATATACTGTAGCAACCCAAAAAGAAGCCTAATTGTACTTTAGTCTATAAAAGCAATGAAACTTAAGTGAATTGCATTCAATATTGAACAATTATTTTTCTTCTCTGATAAATGGGTATACTTGAATAAACTGTGACACTTTATTTACCACAAACATAAAAATAGATGTACAGCCAAGATTCCAAAGCATACAGAGCTTAATAGGCATCCATTCAAAAAAGCTTGACTGATATGAAAAATACAGACTATGGTACAAACTTACACTCAATGTTGAAGTATAATAAAATACGCATTACAGACAAGCACATCCAAACATAGACCTCAGTAGCAAATATAAAATATTACATAACGTCAATGTACAGGTCCAGCACAAGAACTACTTAACTGTAATGAGTGGATATAATATCACTAAAGCTCTCATTAATAGTCTAAAGACTGCAAATGCTGATAGACTCATCTAAGCACTTGTATTAATACATGACCTGGGCAATGGTTTAACTGATGCCCAATACAATCTAAAAAACAGGAGGGATATAAGCAAATTGTGCATGCATTGGAAAGGCTA